CTCAGGACGGTAACGAGGTGGGCGCCGCCGGGCCCAGCGGAGACTTCGAGATCCGGGACGACCGGCGCGGCGGGCTGGGCCGCGGCGGGCTGCCCGCCGACCCCGACCTGCTGGGAAACACGGTGGACGGGGGCAGCTCCGCCGCCCAGCTCCCGCAGAAGAACATCCTGGAGAGGAAGGAGGTCCTGATAGGTGAGAGCGGGCGATGTTTTTTTCCCCCTGAACTGTCGCTCGCCAAATCCATCGTGTTTCTCCACATTTAGAGCCACAGTTGCCTCCTGTGTTCTTTTCCTGCTTGGTAGGGGCTATGAGATAAACTGGCATTTCCCTGGGCATCCACTCAGTCCCCTCTCATGGCCATGAGGGAATACGCTGCTTAGCCCCGTTTGACCCGCTGAGAACAAGCAATCCCCATCCCGGGTTGTCCGTCCCTTCCTTTTCTTCCCTTTTTTTCTCATCCTTTTTCCCCCGTGGGCACATCCAATTTCCTTCTAAGAGCCCCCTTCTTCTCATACCAAAGAGCTGTTGTAGAAAGTAACGGAGCAGCCAAACTTTCCTGTCCTGACCGGCTCTCTGTCTCTCCTTCAGCTATTCTGATTGGTGGACTGCTGGCGGTGGTGTTTTCTGATTTCCTGGTCATCGGTAAAGAGCAGGAGGCAACAGATTTTTAGACTAGATTAGATGTAGTGCCGTGCGTGCACAGTCCAAAGTCCTTTTCACACGGCATGTTCTGGGAAAAGCGTCCTACAGGACCATTCTTCTCCCGGAGGCGCAGAAGAATCTGGTTTTATTGAGACTCAGCGAAGCTTCTTGAGAGCTTTGGTAAATTATAACTGCTGTGTGAAAATGGCTGCTGTGTTCATTGTTCTGTGGTCAGTGATACAACGCTGGTTGATAGCTGTTCACAAAAGAGAAACAGTGTAATTCCTATGAAACCTATTGATCCATTACGTATTTGATTGTCAGAAACAAGAATTACTTCCAAACGATTATTTCTATATATTCTTTTCTATGATAAATAACTTTGATTTCAATGGCTGTGATCTCACAGTTTCTTGTTTTCTATTTCCTCTAAAAAAGAAATGAAAGTAGGGTCAGACTTAAAAAATGTAAAAGTTAAACAACTAATCATAAAATACAAACAAAGGTAACACAGGTGCCAAATGTTTCTGTACATGGAAAGGTGGAGACAGGGAAGTAAAACTACCAGCAATCAGGGGATTTGATCACTGACGTTAAATAACAAATAGATGAAGACAAGTGTGGATAGTTTGTGGTGCCGGCATTAACAGGGCCATCACATCCACAAATACTAATGAAAAGCTTCAGTTAGCTAGGAAAATACTAAAATTTGGCTAAAAGAAAAGGGCCCGAGATGCCATCACCTTCTTAGTCCTGAGCAGATTTAACAGAAAAGAGGAAAACTTTATCCTTTAGTAATTGTAATTGTGTCCCAACCAGCAGTTTTCTGCTCTCTGGTTGATTCTCTTCTCTTTGGCTGCTGCTCAGTATCTGCAATTTGTTGTAAAATAAGTATTACATGTTGCGAAACAGACTAAAAAGATTTAACATTTTATTAATCTCATTCTATAACACAGCATTTTCATAAAATTCAAATGCACAAACGTACATGTTTGCCTCCAGGCATCAATAGCTTGCATATCTGTAAAAAAATAAATAATCTTAACTGATACATAGATGTAAGAAGAGATGTTTGGACCAGATTAAATTGTTTTGTAAGGAATTCTGCGCTCAATTCTGCCAGAAGAGAGCAGCCCAGACTTGTATCCCTGTTTATACAACAGCAGCAAAACAGGCGTGCTCATTTTTATTTACAGTTCACACTGACGCTTTAATTTCCCCGAGGAAACCACCTGGGGAATCAACCAAGTTCTGTCTACTTATCCATCTACGTAGGAATCCAACCCGATCATTATGAAACAAAAACTGTGACAGACGAGCCCCAAACTGCCGAGCCAAGAAATCCTTTATCACTAAGGAATGGCAAATCCTTATACTTTTGTTTCCCAAAACTCTTGAAGCGACGCCAAAAGCCTGATAATCATGTCTTTGTCTCAACTTTTTTGTTAAAGTGTGGCTCATTTACACAGTAAAACATGATAATTACACATAGTAGAGAGCACACATACACACTAAAGTCCAGTTTTTTCAGAAGAAAAGTGAAATATGTATTCAAAAATGAAAGTCCGGTGGGGTAAAGCTCGTTTGAAAGGACTTTTCTGATTAGAGTTCACCTGAGAATTAAAGAATTAAAGAAATAAAGGACACACCTCCTCTCACACAAACACATTCCAGCCTCAGGGGGCTCCGGCTGAGTTGTGCTTTCAGAGTAGCCGTGTGTGTGTGTTTGTGGGTCTGTTTGTGTGTCTGTGTGTGTGTGTGTGTGTGTGTGTTGTAGGGATGGGACGGTTTCTGAAAACCCTCCGAACCGTTATGTTGGACTGTCTCGGTTCGGTTCGCGTGTGTTGCGTACGGTTCATGCGCTGCTCCTTTTTCTCAGAGGGGAGCGTTTACACTCCAGAGCAGAAGGGGGCGCTACTGCGCCCAAAGCCAACCACCAGTAGGAAACAAGAAGAAGAAGCCAAGCAGCGTAGCCGATAAAAATCCAACAGCAGTTTATAGGTCTGCTGTATGGGACCACTTTGCATTTAGAGTGAATCACATGTGGGAATTAGCACTGTTTCCTCTGGTGCAATGCCAGAATCTCACCTACTTTTAACCCAAGACTGTCACAATGATGTATCAAATGTCAGACTGCTTTTTTCTTTCAGTTTTAACCTGACTATACAAGACATAATAGATTTTCAATCAATTAACAATCAACATATACCGAATCGAACCGAAAACCGTGACCACGAGACCGTGAATCGAACCGAACCGTGGATTTTGTGAACCGTCCCACCCCTAGTGTGTGTATTTGTGGTGTCTAAAAGTGTGTCCGGACGGCCTTAAACCGGCTCCTGTCCTCCTCTGTGCAGCGGTCATCGTGGGCGGCGTGGTGGGCGCGCTGTTCGCCGCCTTCCTGGTGATGCTGCTGGTGTACCGGATGAAGAAGAAGGACGAGGGCAGCTACACGCTGGAGGAGCCCAAACAGGCCACCGTCACCTACCAGAAGCCCGACAAGCAGGAGGAGTTTTACGCATAACACCCGGAGGGAGCGAGGGGAGAGAGGGAGACACTCTAGGCCTTCCCCTCCTCCTCCTCTTCCTCCTCCTCTTCCTTCTCCTCTTCCTTGCTTCCCTTCTATCTGCTCGCCTCTCCTCATCCCTCTTCCCTCTCGTCTCCGAAACACTTGCGAGCGCCTTCCTCTCTCCGGGGGACTTTCTTTTCAATGAAAACGGGGGGGGAAAAAACAAGGACACAAAAAGGAAAAAAAATTAAAAAAAAAAAAAATCCAAGTATATTCAGAAAAAACAACACGTACACGAGATGTTTTTAAAGTAAATGTTGTTATAAATATTCTGCAGATTCTCTTGTTCTGTATGTAAACGATACGATTATTTTGTAAGAAAAACGAAACTTTCTCTTAACTTTTTGTTTTCCAAAACGAACAAAAAAAAAAAAGTCGATCTTCTGTTTTTACGGAGCAAATAAAAAGGCTCAAAAGAGAGGGGGGGGGGTGGGGGGGGGTAAGCCGAAGGACGTAAAAACAAAAAAACACCCCCCCCCCCCCCCCCCCCAAAAAAACCCCCCCCCCCCCCCTCACACACCGGGCGCCTGGTTGGCCGCTCAGAGCTGGAGGTCAAAGGTCAGAGGAAAGGTCTCTTTGTGCCTTCCGTAGCTCTGGTGCTCAAAGACACACAAACACACACACGAGCTCCACGCACACGCACACGCGTGTCCGCCCGCTCTGCTCGGCCAATCAGAAAACGGCGCCCCCTCGCCGCGCCTCCCAAAGGGGGGGGTCCTCTGAGCTGTACAAAGACTAGTTATGGATAGTAATAATAATCAA